ATTTTCTGGGAGTAATTCATATATAGGGCAAAAATCACGTGCTCACAGCTGCCCCTCTTTGTTCGGAAGCACAAAGAGCTTTGTGTTTTCGTACAAAGATAAAGTGAGCGGATACGAGCAATTTTTGCCCGTTGGAATACTCCGTGTGAAGCATTTTTTTGAAAAAGATTTAACCGAACCTTTGCTTCAAAGGTTTCCTACATATCCCTGGCTAAAAGGGAATCAGGTTAATGTAGTTCGGGAAAAAGTGGTAGCTGGGCCTACCATGGGACTGTATATTGCTGTTACTGTTGCTGTAAGCTATTACCACTGCTTTACTGATCTCCTTATTACACCGTGTCAAAAGAAAAACAAGAAGCTAGGCTAGCCTACAGATCACAAGATCCTGTCTATCTTCAATTTGTTTTGCTGGCCTTGCTTTCTTGTCAGCTTGTGTTCCTTCCTGTGCTTCTTCCTTCTGAGAGCTTGAGGGTGATCCCGGCATTTGCCTTCTGAACATGAGTTTTCATTATCTTTGCTTGGTCTGCTGGGGATACTACTTCCTTCATCAAAGCTTGTTATGCTTGGGCCTTTTGTGGTAACCTTCTGCCTTTGTGAGGGAGTTACCGTCTTCAAGTTATAAATGCAAGGCTAATGAAATGTAGCTATGTGCAATGTAGATGCAAAGCTATGTGACGCGTAGTCATGAGATGTACGAATGCAGAATTATACGACACATAGTCGTGAGATATAAATGCGGAACTATACGACACGTGGTCGTGAAATGTAATGCTATACGACACGTAGTCGTGAAATGTAAATGCAAAACTGTACGACGCGTAGTCGCAAAATGTAATGATTGTACGACACGTAGTCGTGAAATGCAATGATGTACGACATGTAGTCGTAAAATGTAATAATATACGACACGTGGTCGTGAAATGTAATGCTATACGACACGTGGTCGTGAAATGTAATACTATACGACACGTGGTCGTGAAATGTAATGCTTATACGACACGAGGTCGTGAGATGAAATGATATACGACTCGTAGTCGTGAAATGTAATGCTTATACGACACGTGGTCGTGAGATGAAATGATATACGACTCGTAGTCGTGAAATGCAATGATATACGACTCGTAGTCGCGAAATGCAAAGATATACGACTCGTGGTCGCGAAATGTAATGCTTATACGACACGTGGTCGTGAGATGAAATGATATACGACTCGTAGTCGTGAAATGTAATGCTATACGACACGTGGTCGTGAAATGCAATGATATACGACTCGTAGTCGTGAAATGCGAAGATATACGACTCGTAGTCGTGAAATGCAAAGATATACGACTCGTAGTCGTGAAATGCAAATATATACGACTCGTAGTCGTGAAATGTAATGCTTATACGACTCGTAGTCGTGAAATGTAATGCTTATACGACACGTGGTCGTGAGATGTAATGCTATACGACACGTGGTCGTGAAATGCAATGATATAAGACACGTGGTCGTGAAATGCAATAGTATACGACTCGTAGTCGTGAAATACAAAGATATACGACTCGTAGTCGTGAAATGCAAAGATATACGACTCGTAGTCGTGAAATGCAAAGATATACGACTCGTAGTCATGAAATGTAATGCTTATACGACTCGTAGTCGTGAAATGTAATGCTTATACGACACGTAGTCATGAAATGTAATGCTTATACGACACGTGGTCGTGAAATGCAATGATATACGACACGTGGTCGTGAAATGCAATGATATACGACACGTGGTCGTGAAATGCAATGATATACGACTCGTAGTCGTGAAATGCAATGATATACGACTCGTAGTCGTGAAATGCAATGAGATACGACTCGTAGTCGTGAAATGCAATGATATACGACTCGTAGTCGTGAAATGCAATGATATACGACTCGTAGTCGTGAAATGTAATGATATACGACTCGTAGTCGTGGAATGTAAAGATATACGACACGTGGTCGTGAAATGTAATGTAATATTATACGACACGTGGTCGTGAAATGTAATGTAATATTATACGACACGTGGTCGTGAGATGTAATGATATACGACACGTGGTCGTGAAATGCAAAGATATACGACTCGTAGTCGTGGAATGTAAAGATATACGACACGTGGTCGTGAAATGCAAAGATATACGACTCGTAGTCGTGGGATGTGCATGTAAAATGACATGTAGTCATATAACTTGAATTCGGTTTCCCCCTCTTCCCAAGGAAAATTTTCGACGAAGGCAGAAAATTTTCTGCCCCAGTTCTGGCGTTTTCCTTTGTGGTGTGACTTTCTACCATTATCAGCATTTTCTCCATTCTACGGGTGGGCTCCCGAATTCAACAGCTTTGTAAATAGCATGCCTCTCCTTTCTTCAGGCGGGCTCCTGACTTCTTCAACTTATCATCAATAATTGATTTCCTTGTTTCTTCGAGAAAATTTTTCAACAATGGCGAAAAATTTTCTGCCCCAGTTTTGGTGATATTCCTAGTTTCTTCGAGAAAATTTTTCGACTATGGCGGAAAATTTTCTGCCCCGGTTTTGGTGATCAACATTTCATTTTCCTGTTTCAAATCAAAGAAAAATTTGTTAGTTTAAAACTTGGTGAGTGGTCGTGCCTTCCTGCTGGGGATGGCTTTTCCCTTATAACTTGAATTGAAAATTTTCAACAATGGCTGAAAATTTTCTGCCCCAGTTTTGGTGATCTCCCTTGCAGCATGTCTTTCTTCCATTCATAACATTTTCTTTCCCTGTTTCAAATCAAAGAAAATTTTGTTAGTTTAAAATGTGGTGCGTGGTCGTGCCACTCTTGCTGGGGATGGTTTTTCCCTTTTCCCTGCTCTGCGTTCCCAAAACTTGTTGGGGATGATGTTATTTGCTGGGTATGGTTTTTCCATTTTTCCGTTCCCCATTCTGTGTTTCAAAACTTGCTGGGGAGAATTTTTGTTAGGGATGAACTTTCCCCTTCCCTTCCTCACTTTGCGTTGTCCGAGCATTTCGGAATTTGGTTGAAAATCTATCGGAGTTGTTCGCGTATCTTTAAGAATCTGCTGGGGATTGTTCTGGAACTTAGTCCGTGATTTTCTCAACTGCTCCTTTTCAGGTCTTCTCCAATTTCCTGTCATTCCAGACCAACTCGGTCTGTCTTACCCACATTCTGCTTTGCACCAATTCGGCAACTGGTAGTAAGCTCTGAAAAATCTTTCTCAAAATAAAATTGGAGAAAAAAGTTTTAAAACAAAGAAATGAAAAGATATAAAAAGAAAAAGTCTTTCTGAACAAATGTTGGGGAAAACCAAAAGAAACTTATCTGAATGGTATAACTGGTCCTAATGATCACGTCGTGCATTCCGGATTAATCAACCCAGTCTATTTGTATCAATAAGTCTTTCTGATGACCTCATTTGCTGGGAATGAACAGGTGCTCAACTCTTTGCCAAATGTGGATCCTTTCCTCCAATCTATATTATCGCCTCATAGTGCCCTTCGAGGGGTTTTCACTAATGAAACTCTCTCATTTCTCTCAACTCCCGTCGCCTTATGGTGCGTGTGAAGGTTTTCACCAATAAGACTCTCTCATTTTGTTTCTCTTAGCTTTCATCGCCTTACGGTGCCTGTGAAGGTTTTCACCAATAAGACTCTCTCATTTTATTTTTTCAGCTGGGGATCGGAGTGTTACCGATAAGATTCTCTCTACCGGGGATTCCTTTGGCTATCAACTCCTTCGGCTCATGATCCTCATTCAGTCGGGGTTCAATGAATTATTATCGGTTTCCATTTGCCAGACTTGATACCTATCGGATACTGATCGAGAGGTCTTTTTTGGACATCAATATGGGTTTTGTGTGGGGATAAAAGAAAAGGGTATCAAAATTCAAAATAACTTTAATGGGTAAATGTTACAACTCTTGGAATCAATTCCCCTTTTAAATATAACTGCTGCTCTAATTTTGTGGCTTGGGGGATTTTCGATTTCTTATGACATTTGTCACGTTGCGACCGAGCCGTGAGGCGCCTACGTATCCTCTTGGAGGAATCAGGTCGAACGTAGTTCACTTGATTCCTTTGTTCTCTTATGACCTTCCTTTTGTTTTTGTTATTATTTCTTTTCTTTTTTTCTTTTTCTTTCCATTTTTTTCATTTTTATTTAACAATTCCAAGAGAGGGATATGAAAGAATAACTAAGGCTCAAAGGGGGAAGCAAAGGTTAAAAGTGTTTGGATAGAAGAAAGAATTGCCTCCGTCATTTCATTATCCGATAAACGTCAAGTACAAACAAACGATAACCAACAATTACAATTAAAGGAATTACTCATAATATCGCTTGACTGCTTCAGAATTGATAACCACGTCAGCGTATCTTCCCCTAACATCTGTCAATCATAAAGTGCCATTGGATAATACCCTGATCACAACAACTGGTCCTTGCCAATTTGGGGTGAACTTGCCCTTTGCCTCGACCTGATGCGGGAGGATCCGTATTTTGTCAGCATCCACTAGATTGACGGCTTTGGTGTCATTCTAGTCGGGCTTGATTCTTCTTCGTACATGGCTTGGTTCCCTGTTTACCCTTTCAAAGGTTTCATCCTCATCATATTCTGATTTACTTATCATAGTCGATCTCTTGTTTAATTAACTTGGAATTAGATTGATTATTTAGACTGGGCGGAAGATCCGTCATGCATGGCATATCATCAGAACCAGTAAAGAGAAAACTGTTCAGAAAGAAAGAAAACAAACAAAATAAAACAGAAACAAGGATAGAAAGACTTTTGCTTTAATAAAACATGGGATAACAGGGTTCACACAAGACAGAATTTGGATTACACCCTGGAATAATCCAGAAAAATGAGAAAGATAAATCAAAGCTTGCTACCAAGGCTCCCTCCGGGTGGGGAGATGAGTAGTTGTCCAATTGTTGACAATGGCCCTAGGCCCCATAAACTGTATATCCACCCTACTGGAACCCTCTCCAGTTTCCATCATATCGATGTCGGCAAACAACATTTCAAACCCTTGGCTCAACCCCATCTGGCTTGACGTCCCTTTCTTCCATCTGTCTGACTGCTTTCTTGCTGATCGATTTTTCTTTCTGAGTGGCAGGGATCATCATTACCGTTTGTGAGGGTTTCTTTGGCTCCCCTCCTTCGTGCTCAAGCTCGATCATATGGGTATCATGTGCTGGCAATGGGTTCTGGTTAATGTTAGGTACCTCCGGCGCCTGAACCTCAATTTTGTTGGCATCAATAAGATCCTGTATCGCACGCTTTAGCTTCCAACATTTCTCCGTATCATGCCCCAGCATTCCTGAGCAGTACTCGCAGCTTAGCGATCGGTCCACATTCGGGGGTGGGGGATTTGGCAACCTATTCTCCACGGGACTCAACAAACCCAACTGCCTTAATTTGTGGAATAAGGCGGTATAAGTTTCTCCCAATTCAGTATAGGTCCGTCTTTGCACCCTTTCATTTCTGAAGGCTTGATTTCCCCGGCCACCTGCTCCTGGAGGGTTCCTGTAGGCTCTTGGTGGCGGATACGTGTTTTGTGGAGGTAGATAGGTGTTTTGTGGAGGTGGATATGTGATTTGGGGAATCGGCGCACGCCATTGCGGGTGTGCCGGGGGTTGAGTGTATGTCTGAGCTTGGTAAACAGAGAAGTGCGGTTCTGGTGGTGGATAGTAATGTTGTGGAGGAGGATTATATGGGGTATGTGGAGGTGCTGGGTAGTTGGGCTTGGACCAAGTGCTGGTTTCTGCTGTAGCAACTTCTTCTTTCTTTCTCCTTCCTGGAGCACCCCCCGTTCCGCCTTGAATCGCATGGGTCGTCGCCTTGAGTGCTGAGTAATTCAAGAGTCTGTCAGCTCTCAACCCTTCTTCTATCATGGACCCTATCTTTACTACTTCGTTGAATGATTTACCGACCGTTGTCACCAAGTGACCAAAGTAAGTCGGCTCCAGTGTTTGTAGGAAGTAGTCTACCATCTCTCCTTCCTTCATGGGAGGATCCACCCTTGCTGCCTGATCTCTCCATCGGAAACCAAATTCACGGAAACTCTCCCCGGGCTTCTGTCTGGTTTTCTGTATGGTGAGGCGGTCAGGGACTATCTCAAGATTGTAGTGGAATTGAGCTGTGAAAGCTTGTGTGAGATCGTCCCAGGTGTACCACTTGCTGGGATCTTGGCGGGTATACCATTCCAACGCTGCCCCCTTCAAACTCTGGCTGAAGTAAGCTATCAGTAGCTCTTCTTTGCCTCCCGCTCCTCTCATCGTATTACAAAAACCCCGTAAATGTGCTACAGGATCGCCATGCCCCTCATATAGATCAAACTTTGGCATCTTGAACCCGGCAGGCAGTCGGGCATTAGGGAAAGGGCACAGATCCTTGTATGCCATACTGACATGATTATCTAAACCATGCTTGCTCCTGAAGGACTGCTCCAGGCTTTTGAACTTCCGTGTCAACTCGTCCTGCTCTGCGCTCCTGTCCGGCCTTTCAATTTCCACCGGGATCTCAAAGTGGGGTTTATAAGCATATGGCTCAGGTGCTTTGAATGTAGGTTCAGGAGGGAAGTATTGTGTGTCATGAGCTTGGAACAACGGCTCATTCAGAGGCCTTTGCAGTGGGGGTGGTGCCATAAAAATTGGCGCACTTGGTGGTGGAGGGTTCGTATTTGGTGGGGGAGCTTGGGTATCATAATGGCCCCTTTCTTGAGAGTAATGCTGATTTGCTGAAGGGTCGTGGTGAGGATATTCCGGAGTATGCCCCGATGGAAGATGAGGGGCAATGGATGATTCGGGTTCCTTTTGTACCTTGGCTAGGGCTAACTGCATTTGACGCATTTCTAGCCCCATCCTTTCTATCTTCTCAAGTGCTTCTTTCAGCATCTGTTGTGCCATTCCGTCTGATTCGGCACTGTTCTCTGAACCGGTCATACTGTCAGGTACGGGGCCTTTGGATCTTGTCTGGTAATGGTATGGTGCCAGAACGTTCTAACAACTAACTGGTATTCGGCAAAAACAACAACCTTGTTAGCATTAGTTTCAACATATATCATATTTGCACATTGATGGATGCAGTGTTCCTAAGCAGTCAACCATTTCTAACATGCTTGTCCCTATTTGCATGCGTCATCCCGGCTTAGAGTTTTGAACAATGTGTTTGGGGCTCTTTTGGCTCTTTTTTTTCTTTTTCCCTTTCTTTTATCTTTTTCCCCTTTTTTCCATTTTTCTTTTAGTGGAGGTCGAATCTTACGTGGATTGCCTACGTATCGTGACCCCGCACGAATCAGACCAAGCGTAGTTCGCGCCATAAGTGTTATTAAAGACACAAAAATTTGGAATTTCTTATTTCAAAATATTACTAATACAAGCTACTTATTGGAAATAGACGTAAACACACTTTACTCGACTCAAACAGACACAACTACTTTCAAAAATTAAAATAAAGACTTGATTTTGAACACGGCCTTACAACGCCTCGGGGGCGAAGAGTTTTTAAGGCTGTGTTGACAAAATGACAGAAGGTGGTCGTTCATACAAAGTCAGCCTTCCGGCGTCCCTTTCGGAAACATTCGGCTATTTTGATAAAACGACGACACCTGAATTTTCAAGACTATTTGAAAAATAAAAGACCCTGAATTACCAACACGGCCTTTCAACACCTCGAGGGCGAGAACTTAAGGCTGTGAGGGTCACAATTGAAAATATAACCCAAGGCGGCTATTTATGCAAAGTCAGCCTTCCGGCATCCCGTCTGGGGACATTTGGCTATAATTTGCAAAAACAGCATTACTCGATTTATTAAAAACTATTTTTTTCAAAATACAACCCGCCATTGCGGTTACGGCCTTCCAGAGCCTCGAGGACGAGGGGTTAAGGCTGTGTGGGCAAATTTTGGTCGAAAAATCAAAAAATGACCAAAAGTGGCTATTTGCGCAAAATCAGCCTTCCGGCGTCTCGTCAGAGAACATTTGGCTATCTTTGACAAACAGTCTCGCCGGACTTACTAAAATCACATTTTTGCTATTTTTTACAAAAGGGGAGGTTGGACCCGATGAGGGTTGCCTACGTATCTCACATCCGGTGAGAATCAAACCAGCGTAGTTCGGGTAAAGAAAACAAACTTAATTTTGAAAACACGACTCTTTTTGAAAGCACGACTCTTTTTGAAAACGCGACTCTTTTTGAAAACGCGACTCTTTTTGAAAACGCGACTCTTT